CAGATACAAATGTCAATCATTTTAATGTTAAAAAAATCATATTCCTGACATGGTTATATTCCAACTATATTACTATAAACATAACTATATATCTCAAATTTGATAACTAACGGGGACTGTGCCATCATCATTTCTCAGTCATGATTCAAAGTGGCTGTCTGGTGGGTGTTTTGTTATGTGTTTTCTGGTGTCCCACTTTGACACTTTGACAAATTTTGCTTTCTGTATAAATTTCTGTACAAAGGCACCAATAATAACAGGTCTCTTAATAAAAGACTTTTACAATGCATTTTTGTGAAACTGTCATTCAGGTGTCGAGGGAGGGCATCACAGGGAAGTAAGTAAAGTCATAATGAGCTAATGCAACGGATGTATGAAATTTATTCTCATCTACAGATATTGTCTGATTTCACCGTCTATCTGTAAATTATTGCAATACAAGCTTAAAATATGTGCTGCATTAAATATGGGTCCCATGCAACATATACAATATTGTTTGTTTACACAAAATTTGAGCATGCTGACAACTGCAATTTTTAAATGCTATTGACAATACTATGTTATGTTTCCAGTGATGTAAGGTTGTCTGTTCTCCAACATGTGAAATGGATACCGGTCGATAAACAAGCTGTTGTTGCAACGGTAACTAAGGATGAAGTGTTATCATTTGTGAAGAAATTCAAGAAGAATCTTTACATTGAGGGTTTAGTTCAGGGTAATTTTACCTCAAAGGTGAGAGTTGTCACTGATGTGATCACAATTCAAGGGTAAATAATGTAAGGGCATGCATCTTGGGTGAGAGTGGAAAAATTCTGATTAAAATCTGGCAGGACGTAAAGATCTTTTAAATTTTGATTTCAACTGCTATTTTATTTCTGACCAAAATACTATTCATTCACATTTCTCTGATGGGATTATTCAATCAATTAGAGAATTCCTTACATGTATTAAAAAGCGAGTTGTATCATGAGTTCTGGTTGGTTGATGGATTTATACATCAAAAAGATGTGGTCAGAAGTTATCGGTGTACTATGGCTCACTGAAATACTAGTGAAAGTAACTTCTACCTTTTTAGGATTTTAAGCTGACTAGAGTGATATGTGAAGCCAGTCTCATTCTAATCATATCAAAATGGAATTTGCCTTTAAATAGAGGAAAAATGAAAATGAAACTTCATAAAAAAAATGAAATCTTCATCCACAGGAAGCACTGAGCTTTTTTGAGGTTCTCCGGACAAAGCTGTGTTGTTCAACAATTCCAAGTACAGAGCTACCAGAGACGCGCATTATGCAGTTACCAAAGAATGTACATTGTTGCAAAGTACGTAATTTCAACAGAGACGACGGTAACTCAGTGATAACTAATTATTACCAAGTCGGTCCTGGAAATATCAAACTTTCTACTTTGATTGAACTCCTAGTGGTAAGTACATATGTGAATTACTAAACCTTATAATAATAATATTAATAATAATAATAATAGTAGTAGTAGTAGTAGTAGTAGTAACAATAATAATAATATGTGGTTATTTTGAGAATACCGCAAAGTATGCACAAAGGCTACTATGGTGATCGTATCGACCGATGAGTATAGCAGAGGTTGATGCAACCCTGTAGTGCCCGAGTGCGTAATTTGCAGTTTACTCGTAAAAGTTTTATCATTATACGTAAAGCATTTCTGCCATTCTGGGCCCAGATCTTGGTTATACATGGACAGCTATTGTCCATCTTGTTACATACAGTGCACATACAGTGCACATATAATGTATATGTAACAGGACCCGAATGTCTTTTCAAATTAGATTCAAAATGGCCAAATGCAAATGCTGTTCTGTGTTTCTGATATACATTGACTGATTGCAATCAAACTTTACAACTACATTATAAACCATGTAATTTCTTTTATGTTCCGATTCAAAATGACCGACTTATTTCAGTTGTGTTAACTATTTAACTAAGAGGGACTGTCATATCATGACATGATTTGTTGCAATTATCAATTTAAAGTAGATATCTCATATTTGTACTCTTGCATTTTGTCACAGATGAGGATGGAAGAACCAGCATTTGATTTCTTAAGAACCAAAGAGCAGCTTGGGTAATTTAGTATTTATTGTTGGTTTTAAGTCCCTATTCAGACAAAGTCTGAAACTGAATACTGTTAATTTAGGGTTTCCTTGTCTGAAGCCATTTTTTTAGACATGCATTAACCAAACTTAAATATATTTCAAACTTAAATAGAAACACAAAGGATGTCATTATACATTGTGCACTCAATTTTGTTTTTTATTCAATTATTAAAATATGGCCAACTATCGTCCATTTTGGTTTACATCAGTGCTGTTGTCCTTGTCATAATAAACTTTTGTTGTTGTTTTTATTATTATATTAATGTTGTGATTAGATCATTAGTATGATTGTGATTTTGTGAATATTATTGCTGTAAAAATATTTTAGGATTTGCTAATATTAAAAAAAATCAAACAAGAAACCCAAATGATTATCAACATTCAAAATGTTGGTAAATTTCTGCAACTCACACGAATTCATACCACCAAATATTTCACATAATTGTCCCCAAAACACAGTAAAACTTGAGAATAATCTCAGAGTTTTCATTTAATCTCTTGAAAATGAACCCTAATTTTGGAGTCAACAGTCAAAATTTGAGTGAATTTTCAGTTTTTACACAGCAAATTTGGCTAATTTTTTCCTAATCTTCTATAAGATATAAATGGGACTATTTTGTGAATTTGTGATGAAGAGATGGAATTGGTGGTAAAAAAGTTCATCTCTTGGATATTGTCATATGGTTAGGGTGATGGTGTTGACATATTATCTGCACAATTTATGTGACATTGACAGTTTTTTTCTCTGTATAGGTACGTTGTGTACGTAATGTGTAGAGTTACATTTGGTATTCTTGGCTTCTCGGTGACCGTCAACACGCAGGCCACTAAGTTCAGGTAAGCTCATTTATAAATGTCTCGTATAAATAAAATTTGAGATGGTCAGGGTTATTATGTGAAATATTAAATAGCATAAATAATCCTCAGTTGTGGGAAATATTTTCTGAATTACTGTATACTACAGTAACCTTTATGTCTCCACACATGTTGGAACATTATTTGAAAGCATTAGCAAATGGAATTTGAACATCAACAATTGAATAAGAAGCTAAAATGATCACCGACATGGAAGTGTTGAAACTCATTGAAAATTGAATGTTTAGTACCCAATTCAAGCAGTTCGGGCCAATTCAAACCATCAACTACTGTAAAATAATTTATTTTAACTGGAATTAATTTTTGCTAAAAAGACTTTTTGGGAGTTTTGTATAGAATATATTTTCACTTATTTTTGACAAGTTGAATGTAAAATATAGGGAAAAAGGTTTATTCGCTGGATTTTATTTTCAATAAATCATTCCGTCAACAAAAATAACGAAATTAATTCCAAGTGAAAATACAGTATTTTACAGTATTTCACATATTAGTCCCAAGACCCACATTTTGCTTTCAAATAAATAATCTCAGAATTTTTTAGACTCAAGTAACTCACCGGGTAAGTTTGATTTAAATTGTAAAATCTTGTCTGTATCACAGTGTGACGCACGTTGACAACAGGATTGACTCATTCTTGGAACAGTTCGCTGAAATACTAGATAAGATGACAGAAGCTGAATTTGAAACTTGTGTGAACTCACTTATTAACTTGAAACAACGAGAGGACTTGCATCTCGGAGAAGAAGTTCTACGCAATTGGTACGAGATTACGACAGGCACATATGTGTTTGATAGGCTGGAAAAGGAGGTAAGATTTCGGAGGATAGACTTGAGTGTTTAAGAAATATAGAAGATGGGAAATTTACCACACAATGGTTTTAGTTTTGAAATTATTCTTTAAAATTGATAAATGACAAAGTTTCATTAGTATTGCTATGTTTTTTTCATCTATAGCATTTCATCTATAACTATAGCATTGTCGCTTACTTACCATCTTTGCAAAAGGAGGTTACTTGAAATTGACACACTTCCAGTCAACAGAAATATGCATATTCAGTTCTGTACCAAACTTACATGTTACCTTTGAAAGTTTATGGAATATTAGTAAAATGTGTAAAATTAGTAAAATATTTTTCCTCTATTCACATTGAAAATATCTTAATACATTGCGTGTAAGATATCTCCAGAGCCGAGTAACGATGAGTAGGTATATAATCAACTGCTACAATTTTTCATCATTAAAGAAGTTTACAGTTTGACCGAGAATTTTAATATTATACCATATATCATGATGTTGTCTCTTTCTTGTATAGATTTCAGAGTTGAAACAAACGAACAAACAAGAGTTGGTATTATTATTTCGTAACAGCATTACAGGTGGGACAGATCTCCGCAAACTCAGCACACAGGTAAACACAGAGTTCAGTGTATTATGTAACAAAATAATCCATTGTTTAAAATGCTTAAATTTATTTTGTTCAAAAACATGAAATACCTGGTAAATATAGTATTGTAAATTATTTCAATTGGAATTATTTTGATATTTTTTGTACCCTAAATCTTATAATTTTATAGTGAAAATAAATAAATTCAAATATATGTGTAAGTGAATAAATGTTGGTATTCAGTGAAAATAAAATTCCAGGTAAAATAATGTAGTTTGAAGTACCGGTAATGGACAGCGTTTTGTCATGATTACAAGATCTTACTGAAACTGCCGTATTCATAGATCGATGTTCAGCACCTAAAACATACTAAATATTGACAATGTATACAAAAAAAAACTGAAACTCCAACTGTACTACTTCGCTGTAGTTTTTCAGTCATTACACAAAGAAGTGTATTAAAATGCCTTACCAAAGTCCTCATGAAATTTGTTTCCCAAAAAACGCATGTTAATTGTCTGAACCAATCATCTTATGAATAATTAATTAAACTACATAACGCAGATATGTTTATTACCATTGTGTGACTTTGCCACTGTTTGTCGTAAACAGATTGTCGGCTCAGGTGAATATGAACACCACAACAAACCGGTTGCTAAGATGGCCGAGGCAGACATCATAGCTGGCAGTAAAAAGCAGAAAGAAGAATTAAACAAGATAACGAAGTCAAAGCAGCCCGACACAGGATTAGAAATGCATGTTCCTGCTGTGACAGAGATTTTGGTCAATGGTGAAGTAGCATTTCCCGAGGAGGACAAAGATATTTATTCATTGAATTTCTTACCAGCTGATGAGAACTACTCATCTCCAATGATTACTGACATTTCAAAGTTTAAAAAAGATTTATTAGTCTTCCCAGTGACTAAATTAGACCATTGATGGTTGTTATGGTTACTATAGGTTTCCTTTATCAAGGAAAGGCTATTGTATTTTATTACCCATAACTCCCTGATTAACCTCATTTGCATAGATCAGATCATGTATTTTATTACCCATAACTCTCTGATTAACCTCATTTGCATACATCAGATCATGTATTTTATTACCCATAACTCCCTGATTAACCTCATTTGCATAGATCAGATCATGTATTTTAATACCCGAAATTCCCTGATTAGCCTAATTTGCATAGCTATAGCGACATGGGCTGAACATCCAACTGATTCCTAGGAGTCGAAACAATGATTTGACATAATTTGATACGATTTGATCAGTCATGTACTTTCAAAAACACAGATCTTAAAGGGCGATAAACATTGTGCTGTGTTATGATTGATACGGGTTGCATGTGATGCATACAGTGTTAATAAAATGCATATTTATTGACCCGAGCTTCAAACACTGTACATGACTATGATGTTTCTAGTATAACATCAAAATTGATCCATAAAGTATAGGTATGCAACTTAAATATCCGTGTACAGTTGAAGATTAAGATCCCATTTCACACAAGATCCAGCCATGTGTGTGTCAATTAACAATATTTCTAACCACAGTCCCTCAGTCCTTGTGTTGTGTTCTAACCAATGGCTTTACTGAAATGAGCAAGATCATTGCTGTATTCAATATTGCAAATAAGCTTCGTATAAACTAAACAGTTCGTACATAGACTAATTTCTTTGTATTTAGTATTCCTACAATCATGCTTACTGTGAAATTATTACAAAATCGTGATGTATGATTGTAATTTTGCGTAGAAATCTTTCATCAATAATAGTATTGGAAACCTGACACATTAAATTATTAATTTATTAAACATGAAAGAAGATTACAGTGCACTTGAAAGCAGAAAAAACAAATCTTTTTATGTTTACTAATTTCATTCGACTGTTTTTTCAATTTTCAAATAAATCACTTACAAACTGGGATGTCGTCATGCTAATGAACAGTCGTCGCCATCCCAAAGAATCAACATCCCAATGAAGACCTTTATTTAATTCTTTCAGGTTTTCACGGCTCTTGCCATCAATTTGGACTTGTGTTGTGAAATCTAATAACTAAGTTTAATGAGTAACAAACAAATCCTGGTGTAATACCATACCAGTTCGAAAATAGTGAATTTTCGAAAAAAATAACTATTGATTACAATTTGAAGTAGTATCAACCAAAATGGAAACTTTTACTATGAAAATAAATTATATATGTCTCCCCAAAGGCCAATTGATGAATGACTTAAGGAGG